CAGGTACGTAGGTAGAAAGAGGGCCCGGATGTTTGTTTCAGAAGAGTGGATGAGACTATGTCCGACGATGGATGACAGTGCATGAGCCTCCAAGTGGGAAAAAAAGAGCCGATATGGATAGCGTCAAGCCGTGATCCCAGCTGAATGCCGGAAAATTTAATTCACCACGTCCATCTGAGCAGTTTGGGCTGATGTCGGGCTTACTCCAAACCCGCAGGCCGGATCCATCAAATGCATGTGTCTCGCTCGGCTTCGTATCGGCTTCAACAGCGGTTCTGCATCTGCATCTCGTTACTGAGAGAAGGCGGTGTTTGTTTGAAGCAAACCACAACTACCCAATTGGACGACAGGGGTTTTGGGTTCTTACGCTTTTAGGCCGCCGGGCACATGAAACAGCAACTCTAGCTTAAAATTGACGAGATATGGGGCCGTGAATCTCGTATTCTGCACAGCCAGATGACGTCCCCTGCTGTCAAGCCACGTCTGTGGTCTATGGGGGAGACAGAAGCGTGGGGATGCCAACCACCAACCATCTGGAGTGTAAGACCAACGGGAGAAGCCCTGGCATAGCAGGGCCAGTTTGGTCCGTATCACGTCGGATATCTTGCGCTACTCCGGACATTGAGCAGCTAAAGGCAGACAGAGACGACTCGTCCGTTAGTGCTGCTCGCCCGATAGTGCTGTTCGTACTCGGAATTACTTGCCGCACTCATAATTACACAACATGATTCGCCATCATACATCACGGAGTCATGTAGATGTCAAACGGCGTTGCTCATGATTCGTCGCGGTTTACAGCGAATGAAGCTAGGTTCCCGAAATCTCAAACTGCATTGAGAACATGACAAAGCTGGGTTGTCTTACCCATGTAACCAAACAAATGACTCGCCCTATTCTTCATTCAGCAGGCCTACGTAATACACAACACACATTGTGATTCCAGCTAGATCATATCAAGCCCTACCGCGCCTACACCGACTAGGAACCTCCCTTGGGATAAATGATTAATGATCAAAACAAGGTAAAAGGATAAATTTGGGTCTATCAGGGCGCCTAGATAAAGAGCCTCATGGACAACTATGCTAGTGTTATCAACTCGTATATGTTGCGAAATTTCGAGCCGCAGGCCTAGAAGTCCTATATTGAAGACCATAGGAGCAACTGACTGGCCCGTCACGAACCAACCGCGGGGTTGTTGTGACAGTGACTTCTCAACATGCATGGCAGGGCAAGATAATCGAGTGACGGACCATCGGTGACGATGTATGTCAGAAACCGCGGGACGAGCTCCAGTTTTCCCCTTTGGGGCAACAGTCATCCATGTTGAAAGAAGAAAGCGGAATAAGAGACTCAGATATATGCTTGCATGATAGTTTTCCTTCAACTATGTCTGATGGTGCTCTCCTAAAAGGGACTATAAAATATGAGTTAATTACAAAGCCGCCCAGCATGGTGTCGGACGGCACCCGCCGCAGTATATTATCCAGCCCAACCACTCTCTTCACGCATAGTCTAAGCCACAATCTGGCATCAAACGGGATCATACGGAATAATTACAAACTAGGCTAGGTTACATGTCACTCCTAGGAGTTGCTGTGACTGCATGCCGGGAGGCGAATCGTGCCCGCTTCTGCCATGCTACCCACGTTGGCTCCTTCAATACGAGTCGACGGAATACCGTTGTTTCCAGGAGATAAAACCGAAAAAGCGGACTCGTACTCTATTTTTGAAGAGTCTCATACGACAGGTTCAAAAGTGGTACTAACAAATTTTGTGGTGATAAATTGATTCACAGTTCTGAAAAGCCTTTTCATTTTTTCGTCTCTTCATCACACTCTCCTTTCGCTTCAATACCTACTCCCCCTTCGTTTCTTCGGCTTGAAAAGTTGAAACTACTCCTTTTATAATATCTTGTTTTGTGTTTCTCAAAAAGTCTTTCAAATGGGCCTCCTTTCGGCTCTTAGCGCTTTCTTTTCGAAATTTCCAAATTTCGCCCGCAGGCCAGGCTGGATTGCTGCGTACCCCGACGCTCTCCGACTCCATCGTTTCCCTACCGAAGATGAAGATGGCGACGAGGAAAACTTGGGTCGTCGATTCAAGTCAAGGTTTCGCCTAAACTTCAAGATCATTTTCCTACTTGTAGGAATGATCACTGGCACGATTGTCTTGGTGAAGCTCTTCGATCCCGCTCGCCTCAAAAGCCTCACCCGCCCACAAATATCATACTCCTCGTCCGTGGTCCCAATGTGGGCATCATCAAACGCCGAGTCTGAAACCACTCCCGTGCTGGGAAAGGCGTCTTTTGACTTTGCCATGTACTTTCCTGCCCAGGGAAACAACTTCTTCCCCCTTGTCGCGTCGTACAACGAAGCTCCCCGTCACCGACCGAAGACGCCGCTCTTTGTTCCTTTTACGAGGAACAATGGCATGATGCGACAAACGATTCTTGGGTACATTGCGAGTGGATGGCCAAGAGAAGACATCATCATCATCGACAACAGCGGCACAGCCGATGCCAACAATCTGAAGCTGCTTTCGCCAGATAACCCCTTTTTCCTCGACTACGACTTGTTTCGATACAGATATGGCGTTTCGATTCTACAAACATCGGTGCTTCTGAATTTTGCTCAGATACAAAACTTCATGCTGAGGGTGGCCATGGCTCGCCACTGGCCATACTTCTTCTGGAGCCACATGGACGTCGGAATCCTGAGCCACGAAGAAGAGACACCCTACACGTCGTTTTACGAACGCGTCCTCAATGTCCTCGATGACGCAGAGAAGAGCCGAGTTTCAGGAAAGAGCAAGTGGGCGGCCAAGTTTTTCAACTTTGACTATCTCACCCTGATCAACGTCGAGGCATGGCGACACATTGGCCAGTGGGACGTGTTTATCCCTTACTACGCTACGGACTGCGACGCCTACGGACGCGTCAAGATGCTGGGCTATGCCATTGACGGGGTTCACGCAGGACACATATGGGATGTTAACAACTTTGTAGACGACCCCGAAGCAAGATTCTTCCCACCGGCTTCTCCACCAAAGTCTGGAAAGGATGACGACTCTGCCAACCACACTTCCGAAGACAACGCACCGGGCTCTGCGCGATTCCAGGCTCTAAGGGAGGAGCTCCAGAAAATCCAAGATGCTAAAAATAGTGATTCCAAGGGCCGCAATACATGGCAGAACATGCAAAAGGGAGGCAAGGGAGAGCCATGGACATATGACCCCAAGGGTTTCCAAGTTGCCTGGTGGGAAATGGCAGAGGATGGACGAAAGCTGTATAGGCACAAATGGGGAGAGGGAGGCTGTGATCTATTCGGAGAGAAGAAGACACTCGAAGACATGTGGAAAGATGTAAAGGAAGAAAAATAGGGAATGGATTTCTACCGGAAGCACGATGGAGATGTGGTAATGGATTTTTGGATATATGCGGGCGGTAATCTAGGTGTATCTTGTTTCAATGGATTTGATCTACGTACAACAACAAACGCTTTATTAACCTAACAATAAGAATGATTAATGACTCCTGATGGGCTGTAAATGTAACCAGATATCTCGAGAATCGCAATATCTCAACATCTCATGTTTTCCCAACACACTTGCATGGGTACTTGATCCTACTGGAGTGATTACTGATCCTCTTACCGATGACCCCCACCATAGCGGTTTACAATCTGGAACTCAATAAAAATCAACAACCTGGAAACTATCACAAATATTCTAGACCGAGGATGTGACGCTACGGACCGAGTTAACTGCTGGATACACGGCTAACCACACTTGTTTTGTGCTAAAAGAGGAAACTGCATGGGTTCCGTGAGACAACCTATTCGGCGGTAACTGAGTCCTAGAGACCACACGGCCAAATAAAGATTCACCAATCTCGCTTGCAGGAGACAGAGAAATCAGATGTTGAACCGTGATGGCCTCTGGACATGCATTAGTAAGGTAGTATTCTCTACACCTGATTGGGTATTTGGTAGCCTGGACAGTAGTATCTCTTGTATGTTGGACATGCCCATGTATTGCCTATAAATAGGCATATCTCTTTTCTCCCTGGACAACTGCTCCGTACATGGGAAAATACGAGTATCGGAATAGTACTCCGTAAGTGTGGCTGTGAAGGGCTGAGCTCGATGGCAGGGTGAGGGCGGTAATTAACCGCGAGGATGTTTGACACCAGTGACTATAAAAGCAATGAAACAGAGTGGCTGTGTACCGGTCATGCATAACGGGCCGGGAAGAGAGAGCCAATCAATGCCAAGACGGTCTATGGCGGTTAAGCATAGAAATATTCTTCCACAAACCTACTAAGCAAGAAAAAGCGCGGTTTCGAAAAGGGTAGCTGATCAGCTACAGAGTGCTTGCATTGGCGATTGACGATCCTGGCCCGTTTGCCTTGCCTTGGCTAGACAGATTCAAGATTTCAACTCCACCAAACCAAACCAAACCCTAGCTCCCCTCTATTGTAGGAGTACTCATTCAAACATTCAATTGACAAAATGCCTCCCGTTGATACCCAAAAGAACAACTCTGGAAAGGCAGCCCGTATGATAAGATGGACATGTGCTGTCAGAAATCCTACTCTGTTGATTGTGACTACGGGCCAGCATTGGCTAGAGAGAGAAAACACAACCCTGGCGCAGTTACGCAAACAGAGGACAGGCTGCGTCATCGCCTACGAGGCCGAGCCCACTTCAGCCGCGCCCGAAAGATTCGATAAAAGACAACGGATCTCTTCAATTTCCATAGAGAAGGAAGCAGAAGAAATGAATAAAACCAAAAGCGAATTCATTGAGACACACACTGTTTGAAGCCTCTTTACATGTTTTTCCACAGTGACTGGTCAAGGAAATCGACATCCCGAGAGCCGGATAGACACAGAGAGAGCAGAGTAACCAAAGAACGCTTCACAAGAGGCCTCCTTTCCTCTTTAGTACAACCCCGCGACGACCGAAAAAAAAAGCAGACAACTCGGCCGCAAAAAAAAGGGCATCATGGACGGCCGCTCAATCAGCTCCCTCACAACGCTATGCTCAGGGATATCGCAGCGGGCCATCTCGGGCGGCTATGAAATCCAATCTCTAGTCGGGGGCCTGGACTCGAGCCGGCAAAACGTCTCACAGTTGTTGTCGTCGCTGGGCAGCGCGCTGCAAGAGCTCGGTCAATGGGCTTCGAAGCTGGAGACGAGCCTGGTCGCCTCGACGGTGGCGATGCTGGTGCAGGATGGGTTCAAGGACCTCCTGACGACGTGCGATGGGACGATGACGGTGCTGCACAAGCAATTGATGCGGCTGCAGGCGGACAATGCTGAGAGAATCAACATTGACTTCTTGGTGGCGTATTATCAAACGATCAAGGCGAATATTAGCCTTTTGGAATCCATGGTCGATGTTGTCCAAACGTAAGGCTGAATGCTCACAATACTACGGGTGAGTTGTGTTTTTGGGCTGACCTTTTGACAGAGACGACAAAGTCGAGCAGGAGGACAGGTTCTCGCGATTAAAGTCGAATGATCTCATCGTCGTGGTGGAGACTGTATCCGAGACATCAGCAGGGCAAAAGAACATCTTACTAGACGTAGGAGAATCACAGGCATCCGCAAGCAACAGCACTTCACATGCGCCAAACGATGTCCAAGAAGAAGACGAATCCGCTGAGCCACCGCCGTATACCGCTCAAGTCGAAGCCGAAATCGAAACCGAAGCTCAAGCTGAGACACCACCAGCAGCGTCATCATCTTCCTCAAGTCCTCAGGCCTCCGGAATCTCATGGGGCTCAGTTTTCAGAAACTCGTTCAAGGCAATAGCGAATACGCTCATACCTCAACCAGGCCCTTTCGTCTCTGCTCTCTGCCAAGCCGCTTCCATTGGCGACATCCAGCAAATCGCAGGCTTCCTCACCCAAGGCGCCAACATCAACGGCCGCAACGAGAACGGCAAGAATGCGCTGCAGTGCGCCATCCTGGCCGACCAAGAGGACGCCGCCCGTCTGCTTCTGGCGTCGGGAGCGAGCACTTCTGGCTCCGGGTGGTCAGGCATGCCACCGCTGTTTCTCGCAGCCTCAGTAGGAAACATCAACTCGGCCAAGATGTTTCTCGGCAAGGGAGCGAGCATCGACGAAAAGAGCACGTCTGGCCAGTCTTACTTTGTCGATGTTGTTTCCTCCGGCAACTTGGACGGCATCCGCTTCCTCCTCGAGCAGGGCTGCAGCGCAAACACAAAGAACATTAGCGGCGAAGCCGTCATTGCAAACGCCGTGCGGAAGAAGCAGATGGCCCTCGTCGAGCTACTTCTCGAGTTTGGAGCAAAAATCACTTCCACCGACATCTCTGGCCGTAATCTTCTGGCCGTGGCTCTCGACAAGAAGGATTATGACATGGCAGAGCTGCTTCTGAAAAAGGGCGCAAAGCCCAATGCCAAGAATCTGTCGGGCATGCCACTGCTGGCAGATGAGATCAACAACAGGCGGCTCAAGACGGCCAAGCTGCTTCTCGACTGGGGCGCAGATCCCAACACCAAGGACTGGCACTCGCAGCCCGTCTTGCTCATCCTCATCAAGAGCTCCAAGATAGCCGCCGAGGACAAGATCGACATTGTGCGCCAGCTTTTCGCCAAGGGGGCCAACGCAGACGTCAAGGACTGTTTCAGCAAGACCCCCGCGATTTGCTATGCCGTAGAAGCTGGCATCTCAGAAATCATCTCCCTCATGCTACAGAACGGAGCCAAGACGACGGAGAGGATGCAAAACGGCGATTCTCTGCTCAAGTACGCCATCGACCACGGGCGAAAAGACCTCACCGAGGCGCTCCTCCACTACGGAGCCGATCCAAACTACAGCGTCGGAGAAAATGGCGTCAAGCCGGTGGTGCAGGCCCTTGTGAAGCAGGATCTGGACATGGTACGCCTGCTCCGGGAAGCCGGGGCTGACGTAAATGTGCCAGAGGTGCAGGATGTTGCGAGGGCATTGGCCAGGGCTGAGGTGTATGAGGCACTGGGGATGCCGGCCCCTATCGAGGGAGACCCTCCAAACTACGACACTGCGATGAAGAACTAAACAGAGGAAATTGGAATCAAGGGAATACTTTCATTGGGTTTGGTCAAGCGTACATGTTTGTTAGAATTGGATCAGCATAGCGTGTTATATCATCTCTTTATTCGTATCTTCTTGAACGCCGTATTCTACCGTAATTATGCGTCTATATAAAGGACATGCTTGATCTCTCTACTATACAACTCTGAAAGACAAGGGAAAAGAAAAACAAAATAAAAAAACAAAGTGCCGCCATAATGCTCCGCTCACAAACCACTGATAACCTGCTTCAACCACCACGAATGAATCCTCGCATCGTTGGTCAACTCAGGATGAAAGCTCGTCCCCATGATGGAGCCCTGGCGAACAGCAATGATATCTCCCGCATCACCCTTGGTGACAGCAAGCGAAAGACCAGCCTTTGCCCTCTCGACTCGGTTCGCAAGTCTAGCCAAGACTTCAACCTCGGGCCCGTCCCCATGGGGGAGAACCTCTTCCACCACGGGGGCACGAATGAAGATGCCGGGAAATTGCTCAGGGTTGGGGTTGCCTTCGCCAGAGAGGAAGGGTAGTTCGACGGGGGTAGCAAAGCTCTCCATCTGGCGACCAAAGTGGTTGCGGTGGACGCGGACGCTGAGCCCGCCGATGAGGGCCTGGCCGCCCTTTTTGGTGCCGTTGGCTTCGTCGCAGAGGAGGATGAGGCCGGCGCATGTTCCCCAGACGGGTTTCTTCTGGACTCTAGTACATCATAGTTAGCATGACATATCACGAGAAGCTTTTGACGACAAGTCTTACTTGACGAAATCACGCAATGGCTCCAACAAGCCCGACTGCTGAGCAACAAAGGAAATAGTGGTGCTCTCGCCACCGGGAATCACCAGGGCATCGCATCTCGCGAGCTCCCCAACGGTGCGCACCTCGACGGCTTCAAAAGCGAAATCCTGGGACAAGATGCCCGCGGCAGCCCGGTTGAGCAGCTCAATGTGCTCGGCGAAGCCTCCCTGGAGGGCGAGGACGCCGACTGTGAGGGCCATCATTTTCGGGAGAGGATGAAGCGGACGATGAGGGAGGTGAAGGGAGTTATGCATGCATGTGAAAGCAGTTGTTGTTGTCGTTTTTGTTTTTTGAAAGTTGCTTGTTGTAAGCAAGTATCCTTTATCGCCCGGCTGACTTCAATGACTGTAATTGATAAGAAAAGGGCGCCGGTAGCCGGACTGGCGAATGAATTTTTTGGTGGTGGCGGGGTGACAAGGATTTGATGGTGGCGTTGAACTGTCTGTCTTGGGGTCAAAGTACCTCGATTGTATTCTATGCACGGTAAAACTAGTTGTTACTTGGAGAGCATGGGAAATACAGCATGTGGCTCAGTCTAAGTCGAAATAAGCAATACCTGTGGTCATGAGTTGCACATGCACATGGAGGTTCTGAATCTGGATCCCACGGGTATCAATTGGCTAATCAACGAGGGGAGGCTATCGACGGCAAGCAGCGGTTTCTTGTGTGTACAGTATACACCGAGTACATGTCGTTGAAAGAAGAATAGCAAAAGGACAGGGCCCTACAGTAGCATCGAAACCGCTGCAAGACTGGACTCATGCATGGCCTGGGGATCGTTAACATGACACGCCCTGTCACTCCCCCTCGCTAGCTCTGCATCTTGTCTTCGTCTAAAGGGGCGCCGGTACATTGCCATGATGGGGTTCTGCGTTCTGCCTTGCTCGTGCTGCTCCGCCATCGGGATGTTTCGGGCGGCGGGACTGCCTGATTCCGCCATGTCGTTGCGTATGTATGCTCGATAATACGACTCGAACAGGAAGAGGAAGAGGTTTCGAGATGACTCTCCGCCTCGTAGCGCCCGATACGCAACTTACATGACGGAAGTGCAACTCCGGAGATGAAGACGCATAGAAATCAAAAAGTGCTCCGCAACATGCAAAGCAACTGCAATGCAAATGCAAATGCGCTACAACGGGGTCTCTCTCTTTTGGCGCCGCATCGACCTGCATGAGGCGCCCCGGAGTCGCCCAAAGAGGCCAAGCCCCTGCTGCACCGCGTCAAGCCCAAGGTGAGGCCGGCGGACCGGAATCACAGTTGAATGGCCTGTTCCAGTCAAGCCTTGCGCTGTTCCGGCCATCTTGGATTCGTGACTAGCAACTGAGATCTCGGGGGACTCAATGGCGCGCCGCTAGGGGGGGCTCTGACGGCACTGGGACAGGCTTCTAGACGTCCAGTGCCTTTTGATGGTGGCGGTGGTTAATAGATGGCCCGCCGTTTACGTGATGGCTCTGCAAGCGGGAGAGTGTAGGCATCTTTGTATGTACAGGTAGGTATGTTGTGTTGGTGCCTTGATACTTTCGCCCTCCCGATGACATGTTTGACTCAAGTCTGATCTTTGTACTCTACTGTCCACATACATTCTAATGAGAGATTGAGTACTCGTATAAACTGCCAACCCATCCATACACACAACAAAACAACTGCAACTTTTTTGATTTCCCGATGCTTGCCGCCACGCCCAGCCATTCACGGGCTATTGTCCCACCCCTGTACATAACCGTTTACTTACAGCATCTTCCTTCACCTTTGCCCACTCTGCCTTCAAGGTTGTCTCTCTCTCCCCCCGCTCTGCTGCATCATCACAAGGCTACGGCCGGCATCCAAAATTCTATACAGGATGGCCGCATGTCACAGCACAAGTCCAGTCAAGAAAGAATCACCAAAATTCCCCCGTCTCGGCTCCGTTTTCGCTTGCTCCGCAAAGGAATGCGCGGCGCCCGCCTCCGCCATGCATCTGCTAGTCTCGACGGGCCTGGTAAATGCAGGTAGCACGAAGCATGTGCCGATGTACTCCGTGTGTACCTCCTAGGAAACGCTAGAATTGCAAAGTAAGAGCCGGCGAGGTACTTTGTAATATTCGTATTTTTTTCTTCTCTTGGCTGCTCCGTGGGTAAGATTATACGGAGTACTTTGGCAACTGCTAGTTGAATAAATTGACTCAACTTTTTTTTTGCTCCTTGTTGCCCCGCCGCCAAGTTCCCGGATTGCCCCTCATATATTGAAGGCATCGCCAACCTCAACACAAAACTTCTTGTCCAGACTTGCAAACCACTCAATTCGAATTCTTGATACCCTTGAGACAACTCTACTTGTTTGTGCTATCCCATACCGTTGAGGCTCTCTGAAGTAACTCTTAAAGTCTTGTGCTAACCATCTCTCCTCCAGGTTCTCTCCAAATCTACCCCTCCATCCAAAATACCATCACCGTCATCGCCATGACCAACGACGCCTCTACCAACGGCTCTGCTGCCACCCCCGCGACCACCTTCGCCCTCAAGGCTGGTCTCGCCCAGATGCTCAAGGGCGGCGTCATCATGGACGTCACCAACGCCGAGCAGGCCCGCATCGCCGAAGAAGCTGGTGCCTGCGCCGTCATGGCCCTCGAGCGAGTCCCCGCCGATATCCGCAAGGACGGCGGCGTCGCCCGCATGTCCGACCCTGCCATGATCAAGGAGATCCAGGACGCCGTCACCATCCCCGTCATGGCCAAGGCCCGCATCGGCCACTTCGTCGAGTGCCAGATCCTCGAGGCCCTGGGCGTCGACTACATTGACGAGTCCGAGGTCCTGACGCCCGCCGACGACGAGAGCCACGTCGAGAAGAGCCCCTTTGGCGTGCCCTTTGTCTGCGGCTGCCGCAACCTGGGCGAGGCCCTGCGCCGCATCGCCGAGGGCGCTGCCATGATCCGGACCAAGGGCGAGGCCGGCACCGGAGACGTTGTCGAGGCCGTCCGCCACATGAAGACTGTCAACAGGGACATTGCTCAGGCCAAGGCTGCTCTTGCCGAGGGCGGCATCGTTCGTCTCCGTGAGCTTGCTCGTAAGCTCGAGGTTGACGTCGAGCTGCTGCGCCAGACTGCTGAGCTGGGCCGTCTCCCCGTTGTCAACTTCGCCGCCGGTGGTGTTGCCACGCCTGCTGATGCTGCTCTCATGATGCAGCTTGGCTGTGACGGTGTCTTTGTCGGCAGCGGCATCTTCAAGTCTGGCGACCCTGCCAAGCGAGCCAAGGCCATTGTCCGCGCCGTCACTCACTTCCGTGACCCCAAGGTCCTTGCCGAGTGCAGCACCGGACTGGGTGAGGCCATGGTCGGCATCAACTGCGACGCCATGAAGCCCGAGGACAAGCTTGCCGGTCGTGGCTGGTAAACACGCCCTATTATATGATTAGCAAGGGAAAGCAAGAGGAGGAAAAGCAAACGTGTGGTATATAAAAAAGCAAGAGACAGAGGAGGAAAAAAGACTGGCACTGAGCCTCAAAATGTATCTATTCTACTGTTGGATTCGGCGTTGTGGACTTTTTGTCGCTTTGGGGTGGCACCTAGCATGCTGAACATCAAAATTCTGAAGATGCCGTCAGGGTATGCAAACCTATTGAGCATTATACAGCATAGCACGAAATCTACATTTACTTTTTTTTACACTCACTTCTGTCACCGGGTCAGGGTTGGGGTTCTCCTGAAAACTGAAGTCTTTGGGAAAATGCAGGCCGACAAAGTGAGAGGGAGACAAAACTGCCCGCTGCCAGCTGGCCGTACTTCCACCCACGCAATCTATCATGCGCAGCGCATCTTTTTTTCTCCTTGACTCAACTCAACGCGACTTTACAATGCGAGTGGTCATGTTTTTCATTCTTCTTTGCATCAAGCTCGGGTTCCCCAAAATCGTCAAGTTCTACGAGTTCCTCAAGAGCTGCTTTCGACCTTTTCGCCGCAATCCCAAGTGCAAGAGGTGTGTCTGCTCTCTTCACTACCGTGCTTTTTTTTTTCTCTCCGATTCCACCCCCTTTTGAAATTCTGTGCCCCCGTTTGACGTTGGTTTTCCTTCCTTCAAGGAAAATCTTGGCGAGAGGAAATTGAGGATTCTCATCTTTCCATGAGCGAAACAGTTCTCTCCCATCTCACCATGCTCTTCCCCTTTCTCGACGGACTCTTCATCTACATTCTCAAACTCATCCTCGTCTTCTTCATCAACATCGTCGCGCTTCTTCTCGACATCCTACTCTATATTCTCGAATCCTTCTAACTGACCCTTGCACCATCAGCAAGAAGACCAAGACCGTTCACTTCGCTGAGCCGAAAAAGAACGTCCGCATCGTCTACCAAGCATTGTCGCGCTACTTTTAAGCCCAAAGCCCTGCTACTACGCTCCGCGAGAACGTCTCAACGTGGTTTGTGCATCCCGATCTCCTCCTTGACGCTTTGGAAGCTAACTCTCTTCAAACCCAGATTTGTTTCTACTTCTGCCAAGCACCTCTTCGTCAACCATGAGATTCTACAATCGCACCGAGGAGCTCGAGTACTACCGCAACAGCATGCGTGGTCACCCGCCCACCGATCTCGAGTTTTGGACCTCTTTGTTCATTGTGTGCTCCTTCTTCAGCGTCATCATCGTTTGCGTGATGTACCCAAAGGGAACTTGGTTCCAGTGCGTTTCTGGAGCTACTTTGCTCTATCTCTTTGGTCAGGTGGTGGTTAACTATGTTGACTGCCCCTAAGGCAGCTCTGGGAAGGGGGATATACTCTCTCGATGCTGGTAACCCCAGCTTGAAGACGAGATTGAGGGTTTGCTAAGGTTTTTTTTTGGAGTTTCGGATCTGGGATATGCAGTTGATTTAATACAATCTGCTTAACATACTATCAAGTCCATCTCGCGTGACTGCTTTTTTTTTCCCCTTTCTGACTTAGTAGGTAGGCGTACCCTCCACTCCCTCTTCTCTTGTCTCGTCTCGTTGAGCTTCCAGCTTGCCACTTTTGATGCTCCATTCTCAATTCCATCTCAGTCTTTGAAACATGAATTTTTATCCATTAGCTCTGACTTTGGAGTTGAGAGCATCTATCGACCATAGTCAAGGCATTTGACTTCCAAGAAAGAATAATTATTGCCCTCCTAAATTTTATCCCATCGCTATCCTTCTCTGGCCAAGATATTCTCGCTCCGTCCCTTTTCCCAAACATGCTTTGCACTTGCGTCGTGGTTCTAGGCATTTGGTGTTGCTCGCTCGTCTTCACTTCAACTCGTGGATGGTAGAGATTGTCAGTTTCTTTCTGTTGCTCAAACGAAGTTTGGAAAATTCGTCCATTGCCTTGGCCGATTCTTTGCAGTGACGCCGCCTGAGTACAACGAGAGATTGAGAATCCACGCTGGAGCAAAGTTTTGCGTCGAAATCAGAGACAACTTTCTCCCTACATGTCGGAATCAATGCTCAACTTCCTGATGAAATTCTACCAGAGAAAATTTGGCTTTAGAATATAATGCAGACCCGCGCTCTTGTGGGTATACACAGAGGTAAACCTGCTCTCTACAATTCCAGGGCAAATATCACACGTGATTGAGGCACAAGAAAAAGTTGTTTTGAATATTCTTTTGCAGTATCTATTCTAGATGTTCCGACTCCCCCAATTACATGCGACCTATCGAAGAGAAGCAGTCAGCGATCGGAAACTTGAAGTTTAGGTCTAGCACTACCATCGAGAAAAGCACTGGTCAGAGGACCATCTATATTTACATTGCACTCATTGTGATATCGTATGTTTGGTTGTCATCATGCCATGATTGTGGGGGAAAAGAAGAAAAGAATACTCACTAGGATGATTCACCTGAAAGGCGAAATGTTGAAGTAGGCATCTGCCAACGAATGTGCTAGAAAATCAGTCAGCTACTGGGAGACTAGACAGTGAAAGAGAAAAGAACAACAACAAAAGGTCGGTCAGAAGAGCCCTCACTGTGTATTTACTGTAATAATAGTGCCATGTAGACAGGCGACTCTACGTAAGCGCAGACCACTGGTCGCGCGGCTCGGTGTAATCACTCCGAAAAATAAAAGAGAGAGATAGAGAGAAGACACTTACCAAAGGGCACTGACTAGTGAAGGCTTCCGTGAGACTCCTACTGCAAAAAAAGAATCAGCCATCAGGAAGAGAAGACCAAGTCAGAAAATCCCATGAAGAATATTTTCTGGTCAGAAGAACCTAAATCTGCCGGAGGAGAAGAATCTCCTCCAAACACACGCATCTTGATATTGTGTTCTTGATTGTAATCATCCCATATAGTAGAAGGGGAGGGGAGAAACCGACCGAAAAAGAGTGAGGGAGGCAATTGTGTGGAGCCCTGGTCAAAGCAAGTGGTTAGTATAGAGATCACCAAAAGAGAATTGACAAGAGAATATTGACAAGTTTCATGGTCAGTAGAACCCAGGTTTCGCTGCTTTGCAGTGCACTCAGTTGAAGTTGTGTTCTTTTTTGTAATCATCCCATGATATAGAAAAAGAAAAGGGACTTACCAGAAAGCAATGTGGAAAAGGAAGAAACCTTGAACTCAAGATGGACCCTAGACAAGAAAAGTGGCCAGCGGACAAATCCAAAGTAAGACATTGAAAAAGGAAAATGTGAGGGGATTCCGTATGGTCAGCAGTAAGTGGAAGCTGTTGAAGTGTTCCTCAAAGCGCACTCACTTTGCAATCGTGCTTGAGGAATGAAATCATCATCCCTTACGTGTAGAGAGGTGGAGGGTTAGGAGCGAGGGGGAGGGGAGGGGAACGTACCAGTATCAAGAACGAAAAAAAGCATTTGTCGAAACCTGTTTCAGAAAAGAGATCAGCCATAGAACAAGACAGATAAAGCCAGAAGATGTGTTCAAGGAAATCATGGTCAGAAGAACCCTGCAAGCTTTGTAATCATGCGTATCGTAGTTGTACTGTGGTACGTTGTTTTCTAATCACCCCATGGGAGAAAAAAAGAAGCAGCAAAGAAAAAGACTTACTATGGGTGCTCAGCGGCAGAGAGAGAAAGGAGTTCCTGTCAAAGAAAAGTTAGTGAGTGCTCAACGCCAGAGAGAGAACGGAGTTCCTATAAAAGACAAGTTAGTGAGTGTACAAAAGACGGGGAGTGGAAGGGGGGAGGTTAGTATAGTCGCTCAGAGTTGAATTTTGCCTTCATGGTCTGCTCTAGACAGACTCGAAAGAATATTAGACTCATCATTGGGACTCCCGCAAGAACAGACAACTAAAGCCAAACCAAGTGTGTTTTCATCAATGGCCGACATGAAAACATGGACTGGTTCTTGTGTAGCCTCGCCAACACACAGAGCACAGGTGAAAGAGAAACAGCTGAAGCGAGAGGCTAGAGTGAATCAATTTCGGCGTCAGACTGAAATTTTTTATTCCATCGCTGACGAGCAGCCGGAATGAACCCTATGTCATCATCCTGAGTGTGTATGTGTTGGGAAGAGGTAACACAAAAAGAAAAGGGACCCCCCGAGGCGGAACAGACGAACTGAGAAATTTCCGTTCTTCAGCACACAGAGCACAAGTGAAAAAGAAACAACTGAAGCGAGAGGCTAGAGTGAATCAATTTCGGCGTCAGACGAATGTTGTGATTCCATTGCCTTTGGAGCTGGAATGAACCCTATGTCATCATCCTGAGTGTGTGTGTGTTGAAGAGAGAAATGGTAAAACGAAAAGGGAAGACGAGAAAGGGAAGGTGATGGGAAAGAGAGAACAAAAGGGAAAAGAGGGAGTTGTGACAACTGTAGATATGCTCCCTCCAGCATACACAAGCACAAAAAGAAAGATCAACAACAGGCGAGAGGCCAGAGTGAAACAATCAATGTCAGACTGAAATTTTTTTTCCATTGCTGACTAGCAGCTGGAAACTGAACCCATAGTCATCATTCTATGTGACAGGTGTGTGTGGATGGAAGCGAGAAGGAGGTGTTGACAGAAAGAAAGAAAAGGCAAAGCAGAAAAACAGGCGAGGCTGAAGGCGAGGCTGAAGGAAATGCGAATGTGTCCTTGACACACAAGCACAAAATGAAAGATCAACAGCAGGCGGGAGGCCAGAGTGATTCAATCAATGTCAGACTTGATTTGTTTTTTCCATTGTTGACTCGCAACTGGAAACGGAACCCATAGTCATCATTCCATGTGACATGTGTGTGTGGATGGAAGAGAGAAGAGGTAGAGAGGGAAGAAAGGAGGTGTTAACAGAAAGAAGGGGAAAAAAGCAAAGCAGAAAAACAAGTACTGTGGGAGAGGGAGGCTGAAGGCGAGGCTGAAGACGAGGCTGAAGAGAATGCGAATATGTCCTTGACACACACACGCACAAAAAAAAGAAAGACCCGATGGGTCGATCAGTGTCAGACTCAATTTG